ATTAAATGAAGAAGTAAAATGACTCCCCTAAGAGCCTGGACACACGAACACTTTAGTTCTTCCTTCCGTCTCTATTTCTCAAGAGTTCATGATCTCTGCTGGTTACAAGGCTAGAAACAGATGGCCAAGTTAAAAAAAAACAAAATCCTCATGGGCAGGACAGGTATGAAAACAGCTCTTAAAAACTGTGTGTGCTCATGTACTTTGCTACATGATATGACTTTTGCTTTTCATCTTTATTCAAGATACTACCCAAACTATCAATTAAAATTTAATTACTGAATGATATAAACACAAGAGAACAGAGTAATTTTCAAAGCAACTGGGAACACAGCTTAAGGCCTACAAGTAGCCCAGTCTGTGGGCAGCTGGGAAAGCCTGCCATGAGCACCTGTCAAAGTCGAAGCTTGCAAGCCAGAGGACCAGGTGAGGTACATCTGAATTTCTGAGCATCGCTGGTTTGAACAAGACAAGTGCTACCTGGGAACACCTCTCCTTCACTCCTTTTCTGGACAGCTTGAATCCAAACTAACCGCAAAGGTTAGAGACAGTAGCACTGGGATCAATTTTACACTTTAGAATTTAGAACCAACTCTTTTAAAATTATTTTAAAACTTCGCTTTACTCTCCCAGTTTACATTTCCAAGCACAGAAAAAATTTCAGTTTAAGGGTCTCAGTGACCCCTTAAAATCAGAAAAGGGAACACACAGTTTAATGACCTCACAGCAGGTTTTAGATTCTACTGAAGGAAAACCATACCTAACATTCTATACCAATTTACTTTTTTTTTTTTTGAAAATTCAACTACAGACCAAAATTTCATGACTTTAAAAAAAGTTTAGGGTATTTAGATTACACTAATGAATCCCATTTTTTTTTAAAGATGGATACTTGAAATTGGAAAATATGAATTCTAATTTTTCACTTAGGTTTTAGAAGGTAACACATGGAAACAAAATTTAACATACAGCAACTCTCAAGCGTTAAAACTTTTCAACTGTATCAGTTCAATTCAGTTGCTCAGTCATGTCCAACTCTTTGCAACCCCATGGACTGCAGCACGCCAGGCTTTCCTGTCCATCACCAACTCCCAGAGCTTAAACTAATGTCCATCGAGTCAGTGATGCCATCCAACCATTCCAACGGTATAGGCATCCTTAATTTAAGATACTCTGGAGTCATGGGAGGAAAGGAAATAAAAATCTCAACTTGCATCCAGATTAATTTAATCAAATGAAGAGTCAAGTTAATCAGCCTTATTGCAAACTCATGTGTGGAGACAAAACTGCTGACTAGTACCTACGAAATCATCACCTCTCTTCCTTCTCTCTGTTAAGTCCTGAAGTTGACCTTATCTTGTCAGAGTCTATAAAATGCTACAGTATATGTGTTTTGCAACAGTTATTGTACAACTCTTCAGAAAACATGTAATGTTGGTTATGAAGTAAATGCAAGACAGTCCACAAATACTAACAGCATAGGAAGTTAGACACTTCATTGTGGGAAATTAAACACCAGCCATGAATTAGGAATGAGGTCACTAGTTTGAAATTTCCAGCACTCCGCAGATCCTGGGGAAGAAAAGAGATGGCGTGGTCCCTAGCATGATTCGCCGTATTAGGAATACCCTCGCGGTCGGAGGCAGGCTGCCGTGTGATTAGAGGACCGGTGATCAGCAGCCTCGCAGCCGCATCCCTCCGCATCGGAAGGGCAGCAGAGACGGCTGCAGGCGTCAGCCGCCAGCAGCCCGCGTGCCTGTCAGCGCACATCAGGCCCCATCAGGTTTTGCTGAACGCAAGAGGAGATTAAGCAGAACTTGCGAAACATTCAGACTGAGACACGGTTATCTGCAAACAGGTTTTCTTTGCTGGCAGTCTAACAATGCTGGGACTGAAGACCCCTGTTCAGTGCACCTGGGGTTGGGGTGGGGGGGGGCGGTGTCTGCAGATATTAGGAGTGTACGGTAAGGTGAGAGGAAATTCCTGACAGTGCTTATCTCAGAGCCCGGGGGCGACATCTGAACAACACCGGCTTCTGCGCTGAGAGCCTGACGTCATTCCTCGGTCCCACTGAGCCCGGAGCCGCAAGTACTGAGGCTGCGCTCAAGCGCCGGGAGCCCGACTCCCGAAGCCCGCGCCCGGCGAGAGGGACAGCCGCCGCAATCCGCCGCGGACAGAGGTCCTCTCCCCACAACCAGAGAGCAGCCCCTCTCCTCGCAGCTGGGGAAAAGCCCGCGCCGCGGTGAAGACCTACCACGGCCCAAAATGTAAAAAGTAAATAACATTAAAACAAAGAACACCCATAAGCTCCTATCTACACAGCTGAATTCTCAACTCTTTCAACGAGGTAGTTCTACGAGCCACAGAAATAATTCAAATCCTTTGCCACCAACGAGCCAGTAAATGGAGCACCCTCCAGAAGGGCCGGCTCCTGGAAACCCTGCAGCTGAATAATGCATGTGCTCCCAGGCACACAGAGAATCTCCTGCGGTTTCAGATTCTAGCTGAAAAAGCAGAAAGTGCTTTCTAGTTGAGCCCTCTTCACACGTTCTTGCTTCTTAATAACGGACCATCAACTCCTTTAGTAGCTCTGGGTTCCAGAACAGATACATGACCCAGCTAATTAAACCATTTTATATTCTGAAATTGGAACCCAGTAATTTATCATGTCACACTGTTTGGTATCCAAACTTTCATCTTGCAACAACAGAATCTAGTATTCTTCAGATTAGAAAGTGGATTCTCTTCACGCGATTACAATCGTTGTGTGTTTTAGGCGGCTAGATCTACAGTAGAATGCGACTCACTCACTATATCTGAGAATTTACACGGAATTTCTGGCAGGATTATGCTACTTCCTTTAAATTTAATGAGAGGAGGTGAAGAAAGCCACAATCTGACGCAAAGGTTAAGACAAACAGTGGACTTCTGCTAAAAATACTCCTATCTTCCTTCTGTGCAAAGGTAACTATTTTTGTGTGAGCAAGAGAAATACATGTTTTGAACTCAAATGCCAATATAATTTTCATTCCTTATATGAAAGGAAAATAGCAGGAGCTACAAAATAAATCACTGAAGTGAAGAAGTTACATTTGGCCATAACCACGGTCAGCACTCAAAGCATTATTTCTCACTTAAGGTTGCTTAAAGTAAGAACGCACTTCCTGTCGGAGGCTGCCATTTATAACGGCTCAGATACCTTTGCTCACTGTTTTAAGGGCACATAATGACTTGGCATTGAGCAGAAATTTCTCAGCCTTGGCACTACTGACCTCTTGAGCCGGATGATTCTCTGGTGTGGGGGCGTGCGTTGGGAGGATGTTTAGCAGCATCCCTGGCCTCTACTCACTAGCTGCCAGTCCCGCCTCCCCATTCACTTGTGACAACTGAAAATGTCTCCAGACGCTGCCGAAAGTCCCCAGGGGGCGGGGCCAAATCACCCCGGGTTTAGCACTGCTGGTATAGAGCACAGACTAGTCAACAGTGAAACAAGACTGAGATTTAAATTTCTCCTCCTTTTTCAATGACATTTCAAATAGCTGCTATTCCAAATCCTCAAATGACTAAACAGAATTCAATCTCCGTGAACAGCAACAACAAAAACCCAATTTCAATTTTATATGTAACTAAAAATGTTTTGGGCTTCCCTGGTGGGGGAGGTAAACAATCTGTCTGCAATGCAGGAGACCTGAGTTCAATCCCTGGATCAGGAAGGTCCTCTGGAAAAGGGAATGGCTCCCCACTCCAGTGTTCTTGCTTGGAGAATTCCATGGACAGAGGAGCCTGGCGGGCTAAGGTTCGTGGGGTCGCAAAGAGCTGGACATGACTGAGTGCCTAACACACACAAAATTGTTTCAAATTCCAATCTCTTAATTTCAGCAATCCCATGAACTTCTAGATGTACTTTTAATTCAAAAAGTTTAAATTTGAAATTGTAATTTTTAACTTTGCAACTAGTTATTGGAGATGAACCCCCGTATTTGCATCCAGGGCTGAGCTTTCTGTCAGCTGAGGATGGTCATTCCTGCTGGTGTCAAAAGATCTACTCACTGCAAATCTCATGCCTGCTCTTGGAGAGGAAAGTAGCCCCTGGGGCCTGGGGTCTGCTCAGGGCTCTGGCCTCCCCCTGGCTTCTGCCATGGTGTCAGGTATATGACAGAGAGTCATTGCCGAGAGGGGGTCTCCTTGTACAAATCCTTCTTCCTAGATACAACTGGGTCTTTTCTTAATTCAAAGGATCCATCAACATTTATTTTCTAAAAAACTGCTTTTGCATACTAACTGCCAGCTTTGTGGTTTGTGTTAAAAACAAAGTGACTTGTTATTTATTATTTCAGAGACTGGCCTAAAATAGAAGTATACCTAATTAATTTAACCAAAATTCTCCAAAGGATGTGAGGCCCTAAATCACAGTCACCACCTTTCTATATAAACATACTGACAGCTATAGATAGATACACATACGCATTATGGAAAATGGATGGTGACTCTGCCAAGGTTCTGTGCTTTAGCTTTGCAGATAGCACTCTATCTGATGCACTGCCTTATAGGCAGTGAAAATTTGGAGACAAAGATTACTCACAGAGGCATGTTCTGAGAATGAGAGCCTAAATTTATTCCTCAAATTTCCACAGAGACAATTCTGGGTCCTCCTGTTAGTTCCTGCACTTCAGTTTACTCAGACTTAAGACAGCTGTTAAACTCTCATTTGTTTAGTGGTCTTTTGAATTCCTGAATAATCATGGTTGCTTTAATCATACTCTAATTTAGACACAGGAAGATCAATGAAGGGCAAGTCTGTAAAACAGCCCCGGTACCTACAGGAAAAAGATGCATGCATGCACACACATACTATTTCCCAGAACAATACAGCTTAAAACGCTTGTCACATCACATGTATCACTATCCTGCAGACACAAGGACACGCAGCAACTCCCTGAGAAGAGCAGCCCCGAGAAGCTATTCACAGCTTGTCTGATACGAGGAAAGCGGATACGTACCATCAAAACTACCTTGCTCGGAAGCAAGACGCAACAGCTGATTGTATGTTTCGACTGAAGGCTGATAAACAAAGACTCCAGAATTGAAGCAGTCAGGCCACCCTGGGTCTGGTGCCGCCGACAATTCTTCTCTCTCAAAAAGATCGTCAATATTGGCTAGGACCTGATTCAAGGGTAAGGGGGTGGGGAGAAGGGAAAGCATTTCAGAGCTGTTCTTCTATAGCAGAACCCTTCCTGAGTTCTCCTTAAGTTATCCAGCACACACGATGCAATCTGTTGCTGGACTTTAACTCTTCAGATGACACCTGTGAGGCAGACTGGTCTTACTCTCCTTCAACACCTGACACTTTTCACAACAGCGGTTTTATCTGCACTTTACTGTCAAGTCCTGACAGCATTCTTCACATGCCCAACTGGTTTCAGTTACTATATCCATCTCTCCAGCCATCAAAGGCACACTCACCAGGGTATCTGCATCCATGAATACACATTTTGAGTACTGTGTGAGTGTCCAGCAGTGGAGTTTAGTCAACGTGACACCCAACTCAGGCCTCTTCATTAAGGTGAGATGTGCAGAATCACCGCTGTCCAGGACATCCACCACGATGACTTCATCAAAGACGGTCTCTAAAGTTTTCCTGTCAAAATGAAATCCAGAAAACAGCTCTCAGCATCTCTTCAGAACAAGTGACCCCTATAACATAAGACTGCATCCTTATTAGCTTATCAACAACGACAGCAATCTGTTACTTTGGTATACTACGGTCTCTTAAATATGTCCTAATTGGCTTCAGCACAAACTGTTAATTTGCATGTGCAGTTAATTTCACTAAAATGGTAAGAACTGCTTATGGTGAGGATGAACTACTTGTCTTAAACACTATCATAGAAGAAGTTCCGTATGTTTTATTGTATCACTGAATACCAGGCAAATTGTGAAATAGCCTGTAAAAATGTAACTGATGTTTGGTCAGACGTCTTTTCAACAGCCGACATCGTTAACAGTAATATTTTATTAGAACTGATTCTTGCTGACCACTGAATCCTTTTCCAAGTAATGCTGAGTTAAGACATACAATATCTGCACTGAAGCCCATAACTAATTAATAATTTTTGCTAAAGCAGCTGACAACTGCCTGAAGCTGTGTGTTGTAAAAGAAGTTGAGTGACTCAATTACTTGGTTTCCATTCTTTTGCATCGAATACAAACAACATTTGTTATATGCTTAGCACTCCTGGCATGAGCGACTCACTCTGGTTTATGAGGTACAACACTTCTCTCTGCCCAAAATTAACTACAGACTGACTTTAGAAAGCAAGTCAGAGGTGAGAGAAGCGGCAGTGTATTTCCCAGGTGAGACACTAAACTCAACACAAGAAAAAAACACAGGAGAAAGACAGGTCATCACCCAAAGTTTACAACAATATCACGCATGTAGAACAAAACTGCTATTGTACTAGTCACCTCCAAAGCTGTCCAAAAATATGCTCCAGTTCACACTGTAAACTTGATTTCTTTGAAAGAAATGGTTGTGTACCACTGACGACCGAAAAGGGGGCTTGGTTTCTTGGTTTCTAAGACCACATCCTCTTTCTTACAGTATCCTCACTAAAGTGATTATACATGAGGACATACACAGAGGAGGCAGTTTGGGGGTAATTTGGTTTTTAGGAACAAGATTGTTAGTGTGTGAGATATATGTAGGCATACATAATGCCTCTTTTTCAGGGCTCCTTGGCATGTGCTTACGTGTTTTGAAAAGAGTCACAAAAGGGGCATTTTCAACTTCTAAAAGGGATAAAAGAATGCAAAAATAAATGCAATACAGAGGTGCTAGTGTGGCAAGGTACTCTTAAATAAGTTAGTATGTGGATCAAGGCAGTTGATTCATATACTTCAGAATTTAACTCCAAAAAAGTAACATGAACTAACCCAATCAACAGGCAGCTTGTACCCCTCGGGGTCTTTCTTAGCGGGACCCCTAATTCAGAGAGCCCTTTGGAAAATATCTAGTCTACTAAATTGTAAATAAAGATCATTAGGTTACTAATGTCAGATGTGGTGGAGAAAACCGCTCCTTTCTTTCAAAGGCAAGGGAGGTTTGCTTGGCTGGAAACAGGAACAGTAGCCCCTGCTCCCTTTGGGGGAGAGGCATGCAGGTGAAGCAGGACGACACAGAGGAACGGCTGCACTGAGTCACTCGCTCGGATCACCCGGAGAGGACCTGCCTCCGAGAGCGCCCAACCCTGGCTGGGATCAGTAAGCACTCGGGCCAGAACTCCACCTCCCAGATGGAGCGTGGTTGGAACAGCTCCCAAGAGCCAGGAAGAGGCTTCAACCCAGGAATCCTTCACTCAGCAGCCCTCATCGCTCCCCACCAGCACTCAGCCCCTGCAAAGGGTCTGGCCTGCAGGTCCACTGATGCCAGAAACAGGGGAGGGGGTGTCAGAGCCCAACCGACGGCCCGGCGGCATGTCCTCACCTCATGGGGTCCGAGACCTGCGGGGTGATGAGCACGACCAGCCTCCTGGAGGTCCTGTGCTGTTTCAGAGACAAGCCCAGGACCAGGGCTCCTTTGGCGTAGGAATCGTTTGTGGTCAGTGTCACAAAGGCCTGATCTTAAAACAAGGAAAACAAGGTGTTCATTACATCATTCTAACTAGACAACAGGACCCCAGGACCCTGGTCAACCAACAACTGGGCAAAATCAACTCCTCTGTGATTAACCTGCTCGACTAATAAAGGAACAGCCTCTTGGGGGGTGGGGGGCGGGGACAGAGAACCCAGGGACCACTTTAAGAGCATCTTAGTACCATCTTTAGCAGGAGATCATTGGCAACCTTCAAAAGGCTATAAAAATTAAATCCAATATAGAGTCCAGACATGCTAAATTCTCAGACTACACAGTAGCTTAACACCCAGAGGAGTGTTGAAACAGAGGAGAGATGAAGACGCGCATTTTCTGTCCATCCTACACGGTACCATAGACAGTATTCTCAGTCAGGAACAGACCCAGCCAACAACCTCAACTGACAGCATCTGAAGCAGAGGCCATCTTCTTCATCCTGGCGCTCACATGTGCCAAGCCTCAGGCTTTTTCAACTCTTTCCTCAACCTGGAGCCAAGACTCCACAGTCACCCAATCACCTCCCCAGAGTCGCTCGGAGTCTCTCTTAAACATCAGTTCCCCCGAGAAGCCTTCCCTCCTTGATGCTTCCATCTAAACAGGGGCCCATCACTGCTGAGTGGATTTAGGGACCACCTCATAAGCTCTAGCAAACCCGCCTCCTTCTCCTTGGAGAAGCAAGCAGTACGTCCTGCCCAGGCCCTGGGGCCCCTCCACCCTCTCTTCACACTCACGCTTGCTCTGTTGCTCAGTCGTGTCTGACTCCCTGTGACCCCCTAGATTGCAGCCCGCCAGGCTCCTCTGTTCATGGACTTTTTAAGGCAAGAACACTGCAGTGGGTTGCCATGTTCTCCTCCAGGGGTCTGCCCTGATCCAGGGATCAAGCCCACATCTCCTGCTTGGCAGGTGGATTCTTTACCACCTGGCCACCAGGGAATCCCCCCCCACTTCTCTCACACACACACATATTCAAAAATCAATCTCCAATAATCACTTAGTCGCCAATACATGAATTATTCTTCCTCCTGAACAAGCCCAACTCTCCCAAGACCACCAGCCAAGCCTTTAGGGTTTCTTTAGTCCTTCCCAGGACGACTCTGGGACACATGCTCTCTTGAAAGGGATTTTAACATTAGAACAGGTTGGTGGGCATCCAAACACAAAGGATCCAGTGTTGCTGGGGCTGACGTGGGTCCCTGCTGCCCAAGCAGGGAGTCAGGACACTGTAACGAAGTCACTCTGATTTCTGTCTTAGGTTTCCTCTTCCTGCCTTTCCCATTTTCTAGTGGAGCCTGGAGGCAAATTCCCACGAGAAGAGGACACTGGAGGCCGTCCAGTGGGCCAGCACATTCCCAGCCGCAGATCTGAGGGCAGCCTTCACACACAGCCTTGGATTCTCTGTTAAGCAGTAGAAGGTCTGGAGCTTCTACCTGCACCCCGCCCTCCCCCAGGGTCATCTGCCTCCCAGCCAGCCACTCAGCTCTGTCCAAAGCTCAGAACAGCGCCCCCATCCCTTGACATACCCATCAACCCCTGCCTGTTCTCCTTTCTTCAACTCATCATAAGACAGCAATATTTTGGTCGGCCCACAGCAAGGAAGCTTAACGTGGGGCACGATGAATGATGTTTCAACTCAAAGATGGTCCTGATTCCAGGACCATGGAGGAGGGCATGGCAACCCACTCCAGTATCCTTGCCTGGAGAATCCCCGGCCATGAGGAGCTACAGTCTATGGGTCCCAAAGAGTCGGACATCACTGAGGCCACTTAGCGTGCACACACACCGGGGGATCAAGGAGAAAAGTTTACAGGTAAGTAGGATTCAAGGCTTTCAGGAAGCAAGGATGTGGATGATTTCCCAAAGGAAGTGGGAGGCAGGACAAACCGTAGGAACCGAGGTTTGCAAGGCGAACCTAGCAAAGGCAAGGCAGCTGGGGAGGAGGCTAAACGCTCCCGGAGATGGCCGAGCCCCGGCTGACTTCTGCAATCTTTCCGCGGTTCAGTGGCTGCAATAACCCCACTGTTAGACTCAACAGCACGGCCTGGGGTCCTCGGGGGCAGACTCGCCGAGCGGCCCGGACACCCTGCAACAAGTGGCCCGGCGCCTTCCCACCTCGCGGGTCCCGCTCCCCGGGGGCGCTCGCCGGGCTCGGGCTTCCTGCAACCCAGCCCCAAAGGCCTAAAAATAGGCTCGGCGAGGCGGCCAGCTCCGGGACTGACAGCCGAGGAGCCGGGCCGGGGCCGCCGGCGGGCCCACCTCGCGGCCGCCCCTTCCCGAAGGTCCCAGCCCGCGGGCCGTGGCGGCGGCGCCCCGCGACCCCGCCGCGCTCCGGGCGNCCAGGGACAAACTCCCAAAGAAGCCAAGGATTAGGGAACTTTACAAAACAAAGCGAAAACCCAGATCACTCCAGTTAGAATAATTCATCTGAACTGCTTGTGTGAAACATCAAGTTTAACTGCACTTTCTTCGCCTGGAATTCCAGATCACCCTCCGGAAGCATTTCTCAGCTTCTCACCAGCGGTTTCGTGGCCTTAACCGAGAAACAGAATGAATATTCAGTACGTTAGATTCTCGAAGTCCTCTGCATCAATTAGATATTCCAGTGTTTCATTGAATTGACAAACGTTAACTCAATGAAGTAGGTCCTATAGTCTTCATTTTACAGATGAAGAAGCTGAGTCACAGAGAAGTCACTTGTCTATGGTCGTATCATGGAAGTGGAGAAAGTAGGGCTTTGACCATGGCAGTTTTGTTACAGAACTGACCTTGCAAGCAAGACCGTGACGCTCTGGTACTGCCGCTGCTGCTGCTAAGTCACTTCAGTCGTGTCCGACTCTGTGCGACCCCGTAGACAGCAGCCCACCAGGTCCGCCGTCCCTGGGATTCTCCAGGCAAGAACACTGGAGTGGGTTGCCATTTCCTTCTCCAATGCATGAAAGTGAAAGTGAAGTCGCTCAGTCGTGTCCGACTCTTAGCGACCCCATGGACTGCAGCCTACCAGGCTCCTCCGTCCCTGGGATTTTCCAGGCAAGAGTACTGGAGTGGGGTGCCATTGCCTTCTCCGATCTCTGGTACCCTGGTGCCCAAAAGGTTAGTAAACTATGCTAACTCTGGTTGGGTAATACAGTCTTTTAGGTTAATCTGTTTCACAAATCATGAAAAAGTGAATTTGTCATTTTTCTAGGAAGTTGAGAAATAGTTCTCTGATGTGATCACACCCTTCTCTCCTCATCTCTTCCATCCAGTCCAATCACACAGGAAAGCAGCAGCTAGTATTGATACAATTCTCTGCAAACAATAGTTGCTCAGTATCTGCTGAATGGACACCAAATAGGAAGTTGACAACATCAGTTGAAACAACGAAACAGATGCTTTAGAATGGGTGATTTATTTGTAGAGGTGGTATTGCTATTCTCAAACCAATCACTCAGACGACTCCTTCCAACTCTCTGCAGCCCTGTGGGCTGTAGCCCACCAGTCTTCTCTGACCATGGAATTTTCCAAGCAGAAGCGCTGGAGCAGGTTGCCGTCTCCTACACCAGGGGCTCTTCCTGACGCAGTATTCGAACCCCAGTCTTTCGTGCCTCCTGCATTGGCAGGCAGATCTTTTACCACTAATGCCACCTGGGAAGCCCAAACTAATTATATCACTGCTTATTCACATGTAGGCCCGGACCTCCTACGTGAGAATCACTTGGGGGCACTTGTTAAAAAGGCAGATTTTTGGTTCTAAGCCCAGACCCCTTAATCAGAGTCTTAATAATAGAACCCAGGAATCAGCATTTTAAATGTCATCTCTGGGAGACTCTTGGAATCCCTTCCCCCATCCTGACCATAGCAATTGACACCACTGATTCACTTCGGAAGACCGCCTGATTACTTGGCATTCTAAACTTCCTTTGAAGGAAGTGGAAATGTGGGGAGAAGGTGCAGTAAGTGGGTTACCACTTACACAAAGCCTACAAGTTTAGAAGCGTTGGAGCTCTTTAAGGGCTATAAGGCTTCCCAGGTGATGCTAGTTGTAAAGAACCCGCCTGCCAATGCAGGAAATTAAAAAGATTCAATCCCTGGGTCAGGAAGATCCCCTAGAAGAGGAAATGGCAACCCATTCCAGTGTTCTTGCCTGGAGAATCCCATGGACAGAGGAGCCTGGTGGGCTATTGTCCATAGGATCCCAAAGAGTCGGACACAACTGAAGCAACTTAGCAAGCATGCTTGCTAAGCAAGGAAGATAAAAGGCTATCGCTGAGTTGCACCTACCTGAGGAGAGGAAAGGGGCGCTAGTGGTAAAGAACCCGCCAGCCAAGCAGGGCATGTGAGAGACACAGGTTCAACCCCTGGGCCAGGAAGATCCCTTGGAGGAGGAAATGGCAACCCACGCCAGTATTCTTGCTTGGATGAGCCCATGGACAGAGGAGCCTCGTACCCTACAGTCCACGGGGTTGCCAAGAGTTTGACGCGACTGAAATGACTGAGCCCAACATGTGCACCGGGAAAGGGAAAAGAGTGGTGCTTTCAGGTTGGAATTGCTCTTTTCCATACTGATCAGTGGACTCGAGAGAGTGAGGTTTTCCTCTGTCACCCAGGAACCCTCCTGCCCTTGAGACACTTAACCACCTGCTGCTTGAAGCCTTAAGTATTCAGACTGGGCTCCCACAGGGTGTGGTTCTGGGGCCAAAAGGGCAAAGCCTAGAGGGAGAGCTGGGGCCACCTAGAACTGGCAGGCTTTCCTTAGAGCAGCGCCTCTCTGCTCCACACTCCCCCCACGCCCACCAACCCACGTGCTTCAGTAAAAACAGTCGCCAGAGCCTCCCTCCTGTGTTTCATGTGAGAAAAACGTTTACAGGAGACAGAGTCACGGAGACAGACTGCAGCTTTTACCGCATGGAGTCACATGGGCATTTTAAGGCGGCTGCAATCTATTCTTGCATGTTGTCTTAATCGAGATTACTAATCGTGGCCCACTGACCAGGTTTCCTGAGGCTATTCCACATTGAGCTTCTTGAATTATGAGATCAAAGCGTCTCAAATTTTAATGTGACCACAAATTGCCTGGGGATTTTGTTGAAATGCAGATTCTGACTCAGTGGTTTGGGGGTGGGTCTCTCATCATCATCTCTGGTGATGTCCCAGACTGTGGACCAAGTAGGTATTCAAACATTCTGGCTTATAAGGCTTTGCAAGTAGTAGATGGATACTACCTGCAAATACTACCTTAATACATGAACCGAGACAGATGTCTGAGACTCATTTGTTTATTGTTTTCCTGTGAAATTTAAACTTGTAGAATTTCTGATTCCTAAAAAGAGACTTAAGGTAAAAGAAAAAAAAAATCTGTATTCTACAAGAGTACCCAGAACTATTAACTATTTAAACTTTTGCTAAATACATACATTCAGCATGGTCGGTCCAAATTAATTTTTAGTTGGCCTTGGAATGCATTATGTAATTTTTTTTGGCAGGATACTTACCTTCTTGATTATGTTTTGTTTAAGATAATGCTGAAATCAGTTTGCATTCCCTTGAGCACACAGGCTAATTGATGGTGGGAACAACTGACCTGGAAATATAATCAAGAGCAGAGGGCAGTGTGCTGCCCTAAGACACAAAGAGTTCCCATGGACAGTCCATGGGGTAGATACGCCGCATCTGGCCAAACTCGGGAACTAGCTAGGTAACTGACAGCTTAAAAGTTTTCCCTTAATTGACAATACATAAAATCCATACCTGGAATTGCTGCCAGTGACCACAACCGTGTTCATATCTAAACGGGAAGCTTAGTTTCAAGACATATTATCCTTGGAGGCCCAAAGGAGTTCATTCTTTACTCAAGAGTTGGAGTCCCAACTCCACATGTTCCTAGAGCTTGGTGACCAGCTACATTACCTTAAAAGAAAGTTTTATTATTGTTCAATTGCCAAGTCCTGTCCGACTCTTTGTGACCCCATGGACTGCAGCACGCCAGGCTTCCTGTCCTTTACCATCTCCTGGAGTTTGCCCAAATTCTTGTCCATTGAATCAGTGATGCCATCCAACCATCTCATCCTCTGTCACCCTCTTCTGCCTTCAATCTTTTCCAGCATCAAGGTCTTTTCTAATGAGTCAGCTGTTCACATCAGGTGGCCAAAGTATTGGAGCTTCAGAATCAGTCCTTCCGATGAATGTTGAGGGTTGATTTCCTTTAAGATTGACTGGTTTGATCTCCTTGCAGTCCAAGGGACTCAGTCTTCTCCAGGACCACAGTTCAAAAGCATCAGTTCTTTGGCTCTCAGCCTCTTCTATGGTCCAGCTCTCACGTCCGTACATGACTACTGGAAAGACCATAGCTTTGATTATACGGCCCTTTGTCAGCAAAGTGATGCCTTCACTTTTTAGCACACTGTCTAGGTGTGTCATAGCTTTCCTGCCAAGAAGCAACCGTCTTCTAGTTTCATGGCTGCAGTCACCTCCGCAGTGATTTTGGAGCCCTAGAAAAGGAAATCTGTCACTACTTCCACCATTTCCCCTTAAAAGTATTGAGTTTTAAGCTGACTTTCACTCTCCTCTTTTACCCTCATCAAGAGGCTCTTTAGTTCCTCTCTGCTTTTGCCATTAAAGTAGTATCATTATATATGGAGACATAAAGCACATACTGTGAAATCAAGCTATTTACAGTATACAATTAAGGGCATCCCTGGCGTTTGGTGGTTATGAGTCTGTAGGCGGCATGGGTTCCATCCCTGGTCGGGAACTAAGATCCCACATGCCATGAGGTATGACCGAAAAAAAAAAAAAAAGCACACAATTTTAGTTTTTAGTATATTCGCAGAGTTGTGTAAACATCACCACAATTTAAATAGAGAATATTTTCATCACCCCAAAGAAACCTGTAACCACTTGCAATCATTCCTCTTTCTTTCCCCTTTCCTCGGCTTTCAGTCTTTCTGTCTCTATAGGTTTGTCTATAGAGATTTGCCTATGTGTGGTCTTTTATAACTGGCTTCTTTCACTTAGCAAAATGTTTTTGTGATTCTTCAATCTTGTGGCATGCATTATTAGTATTTCATTCCTTTTCATTGCCAAATAATATTTCATAATATGGATATACCAGTTTTAGTTATTCATATCATGGATAAACGTGTTGATGGGCATTTCAGTAATTTCTGTTTTTTAGCTATTATGAGTAATGCTCCTATGAATATTTGTTTCCCAGTTTTTGTGTGAATATATGTTTTTCTTTCTCCTGGATATATACCAAGAGTAGAATTGCTAGATCACTTAGTAACTCTGTGTTTAACATTTCAAGAACTGCTAGACTTTTCAAAAGTATAGGTATCATTTTGCATTCCCACTAGTAGGAGAGTTCTAATTTCTTTGCTTTTTAGCCAATACCTGTTATTGGTGTTTTTTTTTTTTTTATGGCTATTCTAATGGATTTGGAGTGGTATTGGCCATTTGAGTATCATCTTTGGAGAAATGTCCATTCAGACCCTTTACCCATACTTTAATGGAGTTGGTTTTTTTATTTTTGAGTTGTAAGTTACTATTTTTGTTTAGTTACTAAATCACGTCTGACTCTTGTGACCTTATGGACTGTAGCCCCCACGCTCCTCTGTCCGCAGGATTTCCCAGGCAAGAATACTAGAGTCAGTTGCTATTTACTTCTCCAGGGGATCTTCCTGACCCAGGGATCGAACCCGAGTCTCCTGAATTTGCAGCCAGATTCTTTACTACTTAGCCATCAGGGAAACCCTTTTGAGTTGTAAGAGTTCTTTGTAAGACAGGAGTTTGGGATTAACTTATACCTACTGCGAAAGTCGCTCAGTCGTGTCTGACTGTGACCCCATGCACTATACAGTCCATGGACTTCTCCAGGCCAGAATACTGGTGTGGGTAGCCTTTCCCTTCTCCAGAGGATCTCCCCAACCCAGGGATCGAACCCAGGTCTCCCACTTGCAGGAGGATTCTTTACCAGCTGAGCCACCAGGAAGCCCAACTTGTACATACTCCTGTATATAAACTAGGTGAACAACAGGAGCTAGTGTACTGCGGGAACTATGCTCAAGGCTTTACACTTATCTGTAGTGGAAAAGAATCTGAAAAGGAAGCTGAATCACACATATGTATATACATACATACTATATGTATATAAATAACACTGGAAACTAACAGCATTGTAAACTAACTATACTTCAATTAAAAAATCTGGGAAAAAAGAGGTCTTTATATATTCTAGACACAGTCCTTTTCAGATATATATTACATGTATATAATTTGCAAATATATCCTCCCATTCTATGGGTTGACTTTTCTTGCCAGTATATTTTGTAGCAAATAGCTTTATATTTCTACATAATCAAATTTATTTGTTTTTCTTTTTTGTGTTTGCTTTTGGTGTCATATCTAAGAAACCATTGCCTAATCCAAAGTCATAAAGATTTACCCCTAAGTGTTCTTCTAAGAGTTTTATAGTTTTAATTCTTAAATTTAGGTCTGTAATCCATTCTGAGTTATTTTTTGTGTGTGATCTGAAGGAGAGGTCCAACTTCTTTCTTCTGTGTGTGAACATTGAGTTGTCCCAGCACCATCTGTGGAAAATACTGTTGTTTCTCTTTTGAATTGTCTTGGCACCTTTGTTGAAAATCATTTGACTATAAATATGAGAGTTCTGTTTCTGGACTCAGTTCTATTCCATTGACATATATATATGTCTATCCTAATGAGAGTTCCATGGTGTCTTGATTTCTGAAGCTTTGAAGTACGTTTAGAATTGGGAAGGGTGAGTTCTCTGTTTTTATTCTGGTTTCAGATTGTTTTGGTTATTCTGAATCCTTTGCATTTTCATATAAATTTCAGGGTCAACTTATTAATTTCTACAGTAAAGGAATCTGGAATATTGATACGCTTGCATTGAATTTGTGGCTCAATTTGGGGAGTATTGACAACAATTAAGCCTTCTGATCTATGAACGTAGGGTGTCTTTTCATTTACTTAAATCTTCTTTAATTTCTTTCAGCAATGCTTACTATTCTATTACCTTTTAAAACGTATAACAAAACTCAAACAATTCAGGCTCATTAGCTATATAAATCCCACAGGCATGGCAGCTGATTTTTTCATATCTGCTAAATACTCTAAATTTATATTCTTGGCTAAAATCTGATTATTATTTAACTTTATACATGCAACAATATCTTGGCCCATCACAGGACAACCTTTACAAAAGTTCACTTTGGCTTTATTAGTAGTAATGACTGACACATACTTGACGCTAAGCTTCTTATACATATTAAATCGTTTAACCTTCCCAGCAATCTGATGAGGTAGTCTCTACTCCCTGCTTTAGAGGTGAGGCACAGAGCTTGCCGGACATTTTGCAGCTAGTAGTTTGCGTGGCTAGGATTTGCACCAGGCGGCTTGCCTCTCCAGTCTGTCCTAACCTGTTTGGCAATGTGTGTAGGCTGTGCGCTACTAAAAACCATGTGTGTACCGTGAAAGTCAGTCTTGCCTGCTACCTTCCCCCGGCCCAGCCACCATGTTCCCTCTTAGAATGGCGTTGTCTTCTTGACTTTTCCCATGGTTTTAAGGATGTCACAAAAAACTCACTGTGGTGACTTTTCCTATACTGTCGTTCAGTCGCTTACTCACGCCCAACTCTTTGCAACCCCGTGGACTGCAGCCCATTTCCCTGTCCTTCACCATCTCCCAAGCTTGCTCAAACTCGTGTCCATTGAGTCAATGATGCCATCCAGCCATCTCATCCTCTGTCATCCCCTTTCCCTCCTGCCCTCAATCTTTCCCAGCTCAGGGTCTTTTCCAGTGAGTTGACTCTTCACATCAGGTGGCCAAAGTACTGGAGCTTCAGCTTCAGCATCAGTCCTTCCAATGAATATTCAGGGTTGATTTCCTATAGGATTGACTGGTTTGATCTCCTAACTGTCTAAAGGACTCTCAAAAATCTCCAACACCACAGTTCGAAAGCATCACTTCTGTGGATTCTATTTTTCTTAAATGTTATTTATTTTTGATGCTACACGTGGGCTTTCTCTAGCTGCAGTGCGCAGGCTTCTCACCGCTGTGACTTCATCTTGTTTCTCATCGTGGGCCCAGGGCACACATGTTCGACAGTTGCTGCTCCGATGCCCTGAGGCATGTAGGATCTTAGTTCCCGGGCCAGGGATCAAACCTGTGACCCCTGCTTTGGAAGGCAGATTATTAATATTAACCACTGGACCACCACGGTTAATAGGTCCCTCCTACGGGCTCTTGTAGAAGTTTCTTGGTGTCACAGAATTTCCTCTTTCAGAGGCTCCATGGGAAAATTTTCACCTTGGTCTTGGTATCAGAAAGAGTGTTGTACGCCTTAATACTTAGGCTTTTTCATTATCTGATAGACATTTTGAGTCATATTAATTCCTTTTTTCTTTTTTAGGCCACTAAGAAGCTTAGAGCAAAATTTGTAACTTGCCAGTAGTTACTTGGCTCTTCACCCTACATTTATTTATGCTTTGACCTTTTTTCTCCATTATTACCCTGCCTGATTTGTTTCTGAAGTTGCTGAATGGATTCTATTTTTCTTAAATGTTATTTATTTTTGATGCTACACGTGGGCTTTCTCTAGCTGCAGTGCGCAGGCTTCTCACTGCTGTGACTTCATCTTGTTTCTGATCGTGGGCCCTAGGGCACACATGTTCAACAGCTGCTGCTCCGATGCCCTGAGGCATGTAGGATCTTAGTTCCCGGGCCAGGGATCAAACCTGTGACCCCTGCTTCGGAAGGCAGATTATTAATATTAACCACTGGACCACCAGGGTTAATAGGTCCCTCCTACGGGCTCTTGTAGAAGTTTCTTGGTGTCACAGAATTTCCTCTTTCAGAGGCTCCATGGGAAAATTTTCACCTTGGTCTTGGTATCAGAAAGAGTGTTGTACGCCTTAATACTTAGGCTTTTTCATTATCTGATAGACATTTTGAGTCATATTAATTCCTTTTTTCTTTTTTAGGCCACTAAGAAGCTTAGAGCAAAATTTGTAACTTGCCAGTAGTTACTTGGCTCTTCACCCTGCATTTATTTATGCTTTGACCTTTTTTCTCCATTATTACTCTGCCTGATTTGTTTCTGAAGTTGCTGAGATCCTTTGGAAGTGGGGAAAGAATGTGGAATTAATTAGTAAATAATTAAGTAATCAGAGTTTTCTAGTGGGAGTAGAGAAGGGAAGATGACATTTCGGCTCAGTTTGGGTGACTGGAGTTTTTTACAGTGATCTGTCAGTAAAATGAAAATTTCATAGACAGGCTTAACTGATCCAGACATGGGAATAACCTGTAATTATTTTAAAATCTTAAAAAGACACAGTAATGGCTTGATTTGTCAGCCTTAGTTTTATTATCTATTCTAACCAGTAATATAATAACAACATGATAATGGTCAAAAGGGAAGGATAAGATTATCCAGTTTCTCAAATATATTTCAAATATTTTTCACCTTTCAAGTTCTAGTTATCATATTTGCAATCTTTTAGTTGATGGATTGTCATTTAAATTAGCTAATTATCAGGCTGAAACGAGGAGAATCTCTTTGGCGGTTACCTTTTCTTTAAAATGCGTTATGATGGCATAATTTACATACAGTGATTTCACTTTTTTAAAAGGATACAATTCAATGAGTTTTAACAAATATACAATCATATAACCATCACCACAATTATCTCCAAAACTTTCTTATTGTATCTTGTGGTCAATTCCATTCTCCTCCCCTGCCAAACACAGCTCTGATTTCCATCTGTCTAGATTTACTTTTTCTAGAATTTCATAGAAATGCAATCATACAGTATGTAGGCTCTTGTGTCTGGCTTCTTTTACTTAGCATGATGCTTTTGAGATTTATTCATGTGGTTGAATATCAGTGGTTCATTCCTTTCTATTGCTGAATAGGATTCTTTTGCGTGCGTATGCTGCTGCTGCTGCTAAGTTGCTTCAGTCGTGTCCGACTCTGTGAGACCCCATAGACGGCAGCCCACCAGGCTCCCCTGTCCCTGGGATTCTCCAGGCAAGAACACTGGAGTGGGGTGCCATTGCCTTCTCCATTTGCATGCATATACCACAATATAATTATTCAGCCGGTGGACATTGGAGCTGCTTCTACTTGGGTTTTATGAATAAAGCTGCTAGGAATATTCGAAGGAGTGGGTTACTGGGTTGTATAGTATGGTATATTTAATTTTATAAAGAAGCCTTTAACTTCGTAGAAATGGCAGTTAACTTTCAAAGGTCATTGCCAAATTCAGATATGATGGAGAAAAACAGAAGTTACTGTTTTTATACAACTCGATTATGTCTTAAGATGATCGTATGTCCATTCGTGGTTCCCTGAGAGGAAAGGGGACATAAATCCCTGTGTGTATCACTGGGAAATTTCTTTTTTATAAGCATGGTAGTGCCATTCACTTCTGCTTGTCCAGCGTGTGTACACACAGGGCCTCATTTGAGAAGGACAGGAAAAGATGACCCCAAGGTTCATTATAATCCAAAGTCTTAGTGCTCTATCAACTGCAGGGATTTTGCCCAAAGAGCAGAAAACATGGAGAGAGAAAACACATTCCCAAACCTCAAGGTCACAATATATATTATAGAAAGCTTTCTCCCATGGATTGTATCATTTGATCCTCAAAACAGCCAATCGTTAATCCAGCTGGATACATGACATTTTCACAAGGCCACTCTGGGAATCTAGAACAGTTTTATCCTTCTTTTTTAAAAATCTAAGCTTCCAGTTTTAAACATTAAAGGCTATAACAAGTACCCCCACCTAACTCAGGGCCATCTTCACATCACTGAACTACATCCCATCCCTCAGGTTCATTGTGTCTCTGATTCAATCTCAACCTTGAACCTCCAAGGTGAGGATGAGGGTGAGGGATGTATTATCGAGCACAGTGTTTGAAAACAAAAAGTTTCATTTTTTGGTTTCTGTCTTGTTTTTTTCTTTTCTATCAGGAAAGTGACTTTCTTTAGCTCATGCAGAATGTATATGACCAGTGACATAACAGAAACGTGGAGAAGAAAAGAAATTGTTCAGTAGCTACTCTCTACTAAAATTGTCGTTTTAGTAGAGAGTAGCAAATCTGGGGTACTCATTTCTGATGGAGACAATCAGTACGTCAGCAGCACCCCACCATCTGCTGCTTCTTTTGATGTAAAGTAAGTGGAGGAATGAATGGGCACTGGATTTTTGAAGCTCGCTAAGAATAAAAATAAAGGTAGAAAGTAAAAGAAGATGGATGGATGCAAGAAGGAGCCTGAGAGAGGCTCCCAGCCCGTGGGCAGGCAGAGGAGGAGAAGGGGTGAGAGTGGAAGAATGAAGAAAGGCCCCAGGTGCTGGCAAAGCTGGTGTTAAAGGACTTGCATGGTCTCCCTGCCTGTGATTCCCGAGCAGCTCCTAGAATAGATCCTGTTGCTAATTTCTGGCTCCAGGGAGGGGTCATTTGAATGAAGGCTTAATGATTTCTTGGAGTGTCCTAAAATCCTGAAATACCTCCACGAGTCTGAAATTCTTCTTGATGACAAATATGTCACCTACAGTTAGAGAGAAAAATAAATTCTGATTGAGGGAGGAGAGACACTTATTTTGAGTACTAATTAATATCAGGCGTAGTAAAGAAGTCCTACATGTATGATCTCATATAATTTTTTTAGCAGCCTGTGCAAGAGACTAGTAGCTACATTTAGTAAACAAAAATGATGAAATGGAGAGGTTAAGAGACTGTTAACTTTCAATGTGTGACTATGCCTTTTTTGAGCCAGTAAAGAAGACTCTGTGTCAGGAGGTATTTTTGTCATATATGAGTACATTTGGTTTGGCTTGAAATGACTGCTGAAGATTTTTTTAAAACAAAGTGCTTACTAAAGCAACACGTTTTCAGAGGATGCATTGATTGAGGTATCACTCTTTTGCACATAGAGCAATTGTAGTAACATATGATTCTTGGAAACATGAATACCTAGTGCTATTGTTGTCATTTGTAAATTGAAAAGGTGTTTACGTAGAAGCAGATGTTTCCTCAGTCCTGGTACTAAAACTTTTTAAGGACTATTTTAAGTTTTTTTCCCCCAAATATGTATTTTAAACAATTTTTTCCCAGTAAGACAAGAAAAAGTGGCTTACTATTATTTTTCACAGACCGATAAGGTCCTTGAGCTAGGAAATACTAACTCACTTCTCTTTTTTAAAAATTAATTTATTTTAATTGGAGGCTAATTACTTTACAATATTGTAGTGGTTTATATGCCATGGCTCTTAAAGTTATGCAGCTGGCTGCTTTCGCTTTTGCTTCTGAAGAACTTTCAAGTTCTTTGTGAGCAGATAAACATTTCCCCAAACATTTCAGATTTTGTTCTGTTGGATGATTGAGATAATTTTTGATTTGGAATTAAACAGCTGTTAAAATGTACTCAAACTGGCTCCAGGGAGGGGTCATTTGAATGAAGGCTTAATGATTTCTTGGAGTGTCCTAAAATCCTGAAATACCTCCACGAGT